GACTGGATACCAGCACGGATATTCGATATTCTGCATGCTGTTAATGATATTGGTAATTGTAAAAAGCGCAGGGTTGTCAGACCGCGTGCAGAAGTTAGAGGCTCCCAAGGGGGTCTTGTTAGCGAAACCAGCTGATTTGAAAAACGCTCCCATCAACTTTACGACTGGCATAAGAAGCACACAACCGACGGCTTGCTGCAACGAAGTATCATCTTTCGAAAGCCACGTCGACGCTTTCTTGAAACGCCTTTCCCGCTTCTTCATGTATGTGAGGTCATCCCCCAATCCAATTGTTTCGGCTTCTGACAACATGGCAACCGAATGATGCAACGTGTGCTCGCAGATGGGTTTGAAAGTATCTTCAAAAGCAATTGGGATGTAACCAACCATTGTTCCGACGCACCAATAAGACAGAGGCGCGAAGAGTTTCAACCAACGGTTGAGAGCTGGCACGGGCACGGCGAGGTCCAAGTGGGCTACGAGCACATCATTGTAAATGTCATCGCGTGCGGCTTCTGGTGAACTGTGACAGCCAAGCGGACAACAGTGGCGCCATTCGATAATTCGGTGCTTCTTAGAATCCCAGACACTGGCAGCGAGAGAGCGCGCAAGACGCTTGCGAGCCTCCTCTCGCTTGGCTCGCTGGGGAGCCTCCTCGTCGCCGACCTCGGCGTGATCATCCAACCGATTCAGCAGTTCGAAGATCTTCGCGAGTACCTGGGAAAATTGACTGCAAAGAGAGAGAGAGAGAGAGAGAGAACGAGCATACTAGCATAGAAGGCCCCAAATGTCCTCCAACATTGCCCCTATGCTGGGACCAGTACCGGCGCCAGCTCCAGAGGTCCCCAAGTTGTCCCATGATGGCCCCACGGTTGCCCAGGCTTGTATTCTTATACGTATATATTATATAAGTTATATAGTTTATAATTTATAATATAGTATATACAAGACAGGTTATAGATAATAGATCTAATGCCACACATCATCATAAGGCCGACATCGCCCAAGACGGCCCCAAAGGGCCCCGAAGATGGTCCACCATGGTTCCAATATGGTCGGAAGATGGCCCCGAGATGGCTTCTCTTAGTTGAATGGGTGTCGGCGGATGTGGCGTAAGCCTGGAGAACATCAAAGAGCACCTCTTGGTGGTGGGCTGGAGGCTCATCGTACACGATATCTATGTTCTGGAACACACGCCGAGTAGCTTTTTTCACCGTGGTGACGTGCCCGCCTTTCTGCATGAGGACGCTGGCGCAAAACATCGGGCACAATACACTCAGATCTTTTAGCAGTCTGGCGACGACGAGGGCGACCTGGTGCATGATGCAGCGCATGTGCAGGGTAACTTTACCTGACAACCTCAAGCTGATTGGGTCCATGGCGAGCTGGCTGTGTTCCAAGCTGAACGATCGGGCTAACTTGATGCATGATTTTGCGCTGTCAGAAACAAGGGCAAGAATGAACAATTCCGCGATGCGGGCAATCTCATCTAACTTCAATGGTAAATTTCGGACGATGGCAGATCGCATGCAAAGTGCAGTAGTCCTCTCCAAGAAAGCAGGCGGTATGATAACTTCTGTGGGATCTTCGTCGTCCCACTGCATGCGAGCGTGAATCATCATCATGTTATAAATGCCTCTGACGTTGTTGATTACCGCCCATTGCTCACTTTCGTCCCAAGCCAACTGTAAGAAAACTGAATCAGCATCAACGAGGGACCTCAAGCGCTCGGTCTGAACACTGATGCACTTCATGGCCACGGCGTCCCGAAGCAGGCCAACGAAGGAGTGCGAGCAATGGAAGAAGTCTGCAAAACCCTTCTGGCTCGTAGCCACTGCGTTCCGACTCTTCTCAGCCTTGGACTTGGCAACGATACGGCGGAACACTTTCCTATAGCCGCGGCCCCAGCAAATACGCTGAACTGCGGCAGGGGTCCAACGCTTGAACTGGCCTTTGCCCTTCACGACCGTCTGCCCTTCCTTCCTACGGCTTTTTCTCCTTCCCAAGTCAATCACATCTTTCTTCCGAATTGCGAAATTCTTGTTGTGATACTCCACTTGCTGCTTCACGAGCGGATCCACGGGCCCAGCTCTCGATGCTCTGATCTCTCCCTGGCAGGTAGACCATAAGCAAGCAAGGAGAGAGGACCTGGCCCAACCTACCGTCGATCCGACCACGACCCTTGCTCGACGAATCGGGGCCACATCGATCGAACCCGATCCCACTTATACCATTCCCCATCGCTAAGAAACTACCCCTGAACCCCCAATCGAATAGGCCCTGCAAGCCTTGCGGCTGCGCATGTACTTGGTCAAAAGGTTGCCCCGCCTCTGGAACCGCTCCCGGCCCTCCACAAGACCGATGATACCGTGCAGCTGCCGAGCTGGCCGGGGGGCACCAGCTCCAGCACCATCGACGAGATCTATAAGCGCATCCATACGTCGACGTGTGTGGCAGCATCTGAATTCATACTTGAGACACGCATCAGCGGAAGGAGAGGGAGGGGGCTCTGGATATTCTTGACTTCTCTTCCTGCTCCTTGTCCTCCTCCCCCCCTCCTCGTTGTTTTGCTTTACCCTCATCCTCTCCCTCCTTCTGTGGAAGGAAGCGTGGGGGATAGTGTGCCGATTTGCCATTGCTCTGCACGGGCTGCTGTTGTTGCTGATGTTCCTCCTCCTCCTCCTCCTCCTCCTCCTCCTCCTCCTCATTCCTCCTCCTTTTCCTCCTCCTCCTCCTCCTCCTCCCTCCTCCTACTCCTCCTCCTACTCCTCCTCGTCCTCCTCCTCCTCCTCCTCCGTAACAAACCCAGGGCATCCCCGCAATGACAGCAGCAGCTCGTCCGAACGACAACGAGGACGACGACGAGGACGAAGACGACGACGACGACGAGCTCCGCGACGGCAGCTGTGCCGCCGACGACCACGACACGACATCAGGGGGTCCATGAAACTTGGGGCAGGGGCTGAAGTCATACGAGACGCTCCAAAAGGCGTCCAGGAAGACTCAGAATGAAGCATCAGGAAACATCTGAAGCGGCACTGGGGCATTTTCTCAACAGCCGCCCAAGCAAAACGGGAAACTGCAGCGCGCTTGTATATATCCCACAAGCGGCCTATGCGGAACGGGAGCCATCCAACCTATGCGCTGTCAGTCGTCAATCACAATGACATCTGCGACACGGGCGCACTTGGCCACCTCCAAGCCGGTAGAACCCATCTGCCAATCCAGTGGAGGAGAGCCCAACTTCAACTTAGGAAGCCATACCCCGACCATCTGTTTCTTCCGCCTCCGGTATTGCCCACGCATTCGTTTAGTTCGAGCTCCGAGGGCTGCCTGACTGATCGCGATCGGGTTGTCGAGAACAGGGTTGTAGTCCCAAATTGAGGGCTGGTCGAATAGGCACTTGAACGCTTCATGAGGGGGCGGCGGCGAACCAGTGGAGGGAATGAATAAGCTCCCGATGAACTGAGGCCGAGGTGACTCGTCGTAGGACACTGTCTTAGGTGGCGGTGTCATCACCTCTACCATGGCTGAACTCATGGACTCTAGGCGGCTACGAGTATCTATACACACCTCGGGGCTCGAGCCTGACGCCGACGACACGTCTGCATGCTGACCTCGACCTGAAGGCAACGGATCCCCCCAAAAACAACAACAACACATACCCCTCTCAGGACCAATATTGGGGCCCTGTGAGGGCCCCCATCGCGGGTTTTGATTCCTTGGGCCCCGTCTTGGGGCCCTCTTGGGGCCTTCTCGGAGTCTCCCCAGGGCCCGAGACATCGCGATATCAACGATGTCTCTACTCGCTTCGCTCGAACAGCTGATTAGGGTCGCCTCCGGTGCTATTCTAAGCCTGAGCGCCCGCGCTCTCCCCCTGAAAACCCAGGCCGCAAACGCTCCTCATCTTTATCCTCCCACAAGGCTTTCGGAAACTGGCTTCTGAAACCATATCGGTTTCGGGCATGTTTTCCGAAATGGTATTGATTTCTGGCGGCGCTTTCCGAAACGCTGCCGTTTTCAGGCGATGCTTTCAGAAACGCTTTCGATTTCGGCCCCCCCCCCCGAAACGGCTTCCCGAAATCGAATCGGTTTCGGACACGACCCTCCGAAAAGGATAGCCGAAACACGAGCCCGAAAGGCAAACGGCCAGTGTAAAGAGAACGGCCCTAGTAGACCTTTTAAGCCCTGATAAGATATGGAGTTCTGAGGGAGGAAAGAGGACGTGAGGGAGGAGGAGGACGAGGAGGAGGAGAAGGAGGATTAGGCGCTTGAGGCGAGGAGCAGGATGAGGGATGGGCGAGGTGAGGAAGAGGAAGAGGCGTTTGGAAAGGGGGAGGCGTTGGTAGAGGGAGAAGAGTCGGCAATGGGGAACATGCCGTCTCTCTTTGGTGACGCTTAGTATTATTGCCGAAGCGGTTCGGTGCGGTTAGTCTGTTGTGCAGTTGTTTCTATCTTGATGTGATTCCTTTTGAGACCTTAATATTCTACCTTGCCGGGGTACAGTCTGCCGGTAGGGCAAGGCCGCGTGTCAGGTCATGTGCCATTGTTTGGCAAATTTGCCCCAGCAATCGGTTTGTTGAGTGGTCTTGACTCGCCAGTTCGCGAGGGTAGTTCATGACATTGAAACTCCCGCCTGGCCCAAGGGACGGCCACCGCACGGGTTAACTTACAGCCGCATTCTTGAAGTTCAGAGCGTATCAAGTGAGCCTGCTGTTTTTGAGTGGATGTGTGTTCGTTTGTTGTGTCGAGGCAGCGCTTTGACGTGGAGTGCCGCAGCGCTCTTGGGTTGGCATTGCTTGGGCCTATTTCTTTGCTCAGGTGGCGCTGAGCAGCACCGTGTTTTTTCTGCGCACTGTGAGTTCATGGTCTCCCAGCTGCAGTATGCTAAGCTGCTACCTGCAGCAGCAGCACAACGACGAGGACGACGACGACGACGACCGACGACCGACGACCGACGACGACCGACGACGGCCTTCCCGCGGGCGTGGGCGCCGCAGGCCGCCGACGACGCAGGGGCGGCGCGCACGGAGCTTGAGGGGAGGCTGCACAGGCTGGAGGACCCGCCGCCGCCGTCGTCGTCGTCGTCGTCGTCGTCGTCGTCGTCGCCATCGTGCTCGTTGTGGTCGTCGTCGTTGTCGTCGTCGTCGTCGTTGTCGTCGAGGTCGTCGTCGTCGTCGTCGTCGTCGTCGTCGTCGTCGTGGTCTTCCTGTCGGTCCTCAGGCGGCGGGCGGCCAGCGCGATGGCGCTCAGTGTGGGCTGGTGACCCCCCCGTGCTTCTCGGAGCCCGTCGGCGTTCTCGCGGTGCTCGTCTGGATTCATGCCGAGGGCGGGAGCTCTCGGAACCGTGGTCCAGTCTTCATTACATGCCATTGGCCAGCTTCGCCATGAAAGAAACGAGGTCCTGACGGAAACCGATCCCGAGGTGTCTCACAGTTCCCAGCCCCTGGGGCTCTCTCTGGGCCATCGGGCCGCCAAAGTCAGGATCAGCACGAAGCACTAGCTTTGGGGGAGTCCCTCAGGTCTCAAGACCCGTTTCCCTCGGGACCCAGGTGAGTCACGCCCATGTCGGCCTTGCAGTTCGACTGTCGGCGTCGCCTGCGCAGACCCCTCTCCTGCACGTATGGGCGTGTGGCGGCCTCTTTGCTGTCGCCGGGCGCGGCCCGGGCCGCGCGCGGGGGGGTGTGGGGGGGGGCGATCCAATCGGCCTCCCATTCGGCGCGCATCGTCATCATCCCCATATTGTTCGTATTTTCGGCTTTTGCATATCCTCCCCATATCATATTCTCCCCATATCATCCCCATATTTTCTCATTTCATCATCCCCATATCATCCCCATATTTGCATGCGCAGCGTCCTCCGGCATATTGTTCGTATCTTGGTCCAGTGCATTTTCTTCAACGTTGGCCTCCAGTCGAAGAACAAGAAGCTTCGTTAAACATGAGCTTTCGGCGCTCCGCGCGGATTTCTCGGATCTGTGCTGGGCCTCCTTTACCGGCGCCGCTCCTGGCGCGCTCCGCGCGCCAGGCAGGCGGGTCCAGCGCCGATCCAACGAATCTGCGCGGACCTCCGAGAATTATGCTCGTGCCGTTTACTCCGGATTCCGGATTCCATAACAAAGTGGGGGGGTCACATTCGGGGGGGGGTCTAATTTGAGCTGTCTTGGAGGGCGGGGGGGTCTGGGCAAAGGGCCGCCCTTTCATGGATAGTTTGGGGGGTCTAAAACTTCTGGTCTGGGAGGGTTGTGACCCCCTCCCTTTTATTACGAAATCTGGAGTATGTTCCCTCTGTTAGATATCGATCTCGGTGCAGCGTTGGCGTCCAGGGCCCCTTTTCGGGCTCCAGGGCTAGAGAGTGGTGCGGTGTGAGCGGGTGGGCCCCAGAGGGGGCGTCTCGAGTCGGGCGGCCTGGCGCTCTCGACGACGACGACGACGACGACGACGACGAGTGAGGAGAAATTGTTTTAAATCGGGCAGGTCCCTCTAAAGGAGGAGTATTCAAGACTGGTCCAAAAACAGTGGGTGGAATATGTTCTGACTATCGTTTGGCTGTTCTTGCTTATTGTTTGACTTTTCAGAGTCCAACTCCGCCTGTAAGAGAACATGCCCGACCTAAGGGAACTGGACTGGAGCTTGATGATCAGGGACAAGGAAAGACGAAGGTACCCATGCAGCTACCCTTTCCCTCGTTTTCGCCTTGCTGGGTCTCCTGGAAGGCCCTCGTCGCCACCGCTGGACTCTCTTCGAGAGTCTGGTCAGAACGCACCCCAGGAGAAGCCCTTACGACTGGCGCCGAAAGGGGCGCGGCGACGGGGTCAGGGGCAACGATAGGGGGGGGATAGGCATGGGGGGGAATGCACCGACCTCCAATCACGCACTGGTGGCCGAAGGGGGTCTGATAGCCCCACCACGCCCAGGAACGTGGGTTTTGCTATCGGGGCCTATCGCCGATCTATCATCTATCGGCGATGTATTGCCGATTCCAAGTCAATGTTTCCCCTCTTATGCCAGTTCCCCCACTATCTTTACCCATCTGAACAGGACTTGCTGTCCGCGCCGCCGCGGACGTTGTCCATTTGAGACAGCAGAAGGCCGCCCGACCAACAGCGGCCGTTGTCGGTTTTGGACCATTCTTGTTGTCGGGCATTGTGCCCATTTTGTCCGCACCCATTTCGGGTGTCAAGAACATTTCTTACCCTCTGGCGTTCCAGGGGCGCTCGTCGCCACGACTGAACGCGCCCCTGAAGTGAGACTGTCGTCGTCGTGTCCTGCTGTCGCCGTCGTCATTATCGTCTGAGTCTTGCAGTATGGAGCCATCTTGAAGCGGTCTTGGTCTCATTTCGGGGTGGGTTCGGGTTGTCTCTGGTCTCTGTCGGGGCCGTCCAAGGCTGTCTTGTGGGCCTATTGCGGCTTAGTGAGGTTGTCTGGAGCATCCCCGAGACGATCGTAAGTTGAGCAGCCTCGCAATCAAACCGCCCCGGCATTTCGCCATTACGTGTTTCCATGCGTACATGTAGCAGGGGTACTAGGGTTTGGGACCCTAGGCCGGAACCTCGACCGCAAGTGTGGTTGCGCAGGCGCTTGGGGGGGCCCAAGGTGGCCAAGACGCCCAAGGTGGCCCCCAGAACGGACCAGGAGACCTCCAAGACGCTCCAATAGTCAGCCATGCGCAGAGGGGGGAAGGGGGAGGCGGGAAGGCTTCTTAGAAGCACCCCTGCTTCTTAGAAGGCGCGGGCCTTCTCTATACGTGTAAGGCCAGGGCCTTCTAAGAAGCAGGGTGCTTCTAAGAAGCCTTCCCCCCTCCCCCTACCCCCCTCTGCTCGCCGCCAAAGTAGGCTTGAGCGAGGCCTCCCAAGAGAGCCCCAGAGAGGCAGCAGTGGCTGTGGGCCCCCAGCGCCCGGAGGAGCCCGGATGCTCCCAGGGCCGCCCGCGCTGGCTCGTGGACGCCCATACAGTCGGGGCGCTGGAGAAGGAACCCTTCTCGTTGGGGAGGGGCTCCGTGTTCCTTGATTATTTCAGAGCTCGCCTTTGGTTTTCCTTAGGTGTTCGATGGGAGATCGAACTTGAACTGATGGGAAAAAGGGGCCTCGTTCCTTATTCAGGGTTCCTTGGGTCAGCGTCCCAACTGTAGGGCGGCCCAACAGGGGTCCCAGACGGCTTCGGAGCGCTCGAAGACTGCTCCGAGAGGCCTGCAGGACGCTTCTGGAGGGCTCCCAGAGAGCCCTCCAAGAGGCTGCGGGGAAGCAAATCTCACCATTGCCCAAACAGTGTAATTACGGTCGGTGCCTTATGTGTGTTTGAAGGAACTGGGCTGGTTGGGCGGTCTGGCGACTATGTTGCCGCCGTCGCCGCCCCGTCGTCTGGGCCAGTTGGGCGATCAGGCGGCTATGTGGCCGCCGTCGCCGCCCTAGATTCTCCTTACTACTATAAGAGTATTAGGATCCCCCCCCTCCTAGAATTAACGGACCCCCTGTTCGTGTTGCCATTTACGTAAGGTTCTGGCCCATCGTCCATCCAAAATATGAATTCGTACCAGCCCAGGCATGCCGGCATCGGTACCCCCTGCACTCTCTGCAGAAAGTATTACGCGCACGCATTTTTCATCAGCAGCCATCAGTTCTCAAGAATTCTTTGCAACAAATGTGGCGAAGTGCGCACGCGCGCGTCGTCGCGCGCGCATGCCGAAATCTTCAAAAACCTTAAATGTATGCTGGAGTTCAACATCGAGAAGCCCGAAACCACATGAAAGACATGGTTCGCAACCAGAATTGTCAAACACAATTTGCGTTCGGGCTCTTGCGAGTTCTTAAGAAACCCATGCGCCGTTCAACATTTTCAGAACTTGCTACTGAACAGGCCTCTCTCGCGCGCATGTCGGCATCGCTCGAACGTCCTTGCGCGCGTGCTGTCGCAAGAATCCCCTGCGAAAAACGGGACGGCTTGCACGCGCGCGCGCGCCGTCGCAACCGAAATTTCCCAAACACTCATAGTTGTCGTAAGGATTTCAAAGACGAGGGCCCCAGAAACATATGAAAAGCAATTGGTTGCGCAACGTCTGTATTCAAACGTGCTTGCGGTGGCGCTCCTGCTGAACTCTTCAGAAATCCATCGATTCTATCCACATGTTCACGAAATTCTTCTAAACGGGCCCCTCGCGCCGCTCGTTGAAATCAGTCGTCCGCCCTTGCGCACGTGCTGGGAGGGGGAACGATCCGTTTCAAACAGTACCATGCGGGCAATCCTCGCGCGCCGGCCGCGCGCGCATGTCAAATTCCTTCCAAAAGCTTCATCACCGACGCGGGGACGCCGTCATCGTCGTCGGCGCGATCAGCATCGGCGCCGTCAACTGCTGGGCCGTCGTCGTTGTCATCATCGCCACCAGCATCGCCACCATCATCATCGCGTCAACCGTCGTCGACGTTGCCATGACACCGCGTCCGCCCAAGCCGCCGATTTGCATTGAAGCGACCGTTTGGAAGTGCCCAGAGGTCAGAGCCACCGCAGCCGCTTGGATAGCGCAAAACCATATGGCCTCTGCGCGCGCGAGCGTGCGCGGGTTAGCGCGGCCGCGGGGATACTCCAGCCAAGTCACACCATTCATTGCAAACGCTGCTGCATGGGTTTTGCAAACTAAGTCGCGGGTGGGTGGGTGGGGTGGTGGCGCGAGCAATGGTGTTGACAGCTTCAAGTTCGGCAGGATGACTTGCACCACGTAGATTTTCCTTTCTAGAGAATAGGTTCTACCACCCCTCCCCCCGGACTTAAAGACCCTCCGGGAACTGATGTAAAACCCATGGGATTCTGACCCAATGCCCGTTCTATCTGTGAGTTTATAGTCTCCCAGCCAAACTGGTATCGGTGTCCCCCAACATACTGCTGCAAGCTATGCTATGCGCGCGCACTCGTTTCTCAAAAATCATAGATGCCCCCGAATCCCTTGCAACAAAAAACAATCAAACAAAAACATAACAACGACGAAGTGCACACGCGCGCGTCGTCGCGCGCGCGCATGCCGACATCCTTCAAAAACCTTCGGTTTCGGAAGGATGTTAAAATGGGTGCCCAAACAACATACAAACACACAATGTTTCACAACACGGATTTACTAAACCCGCTTACGCGCGCGGTTGCGAAATGTTAAGAAAACCATCGGTTTCCAATGTTTCCCTAAACAGTTCTACCAAACGGGCTTCGCGCGTGCACCTGTCGAAGTCTTTCGAAAGCACTTGCGCGCGTGCCGTCGCGAGAATCCTTTCTGCAAAAAAAGGAACGAAGTGCACACGCGCGCGTTGTCGCGCGCGCGTGCCAAAATCTTTCAGCAACCTTCAGTTTCGGAAGGGATTCCAAAATCGACTGTCCAAACAGCATACACAAACACAGGGTTTCACAACACTGATTTGCATCAAAAGCGTGCACGCGCGCTCGTGCGTCTTCGTCGTTATCGTCGTCGCCGTCCTCCCTCCTTCGTCGTCGTCGTCGTGGTCGTCGCCATCGGTGTCCTCTGTTTTTTTTCGTCGTCGTCTTGGCGTCGTCGTCGTTTCCGTCGTCGTCGTCGCCGTGGTCGTCCTTCTCCCTCGTCGTCTTCGTCGGCGTTTCGTCGTTTTCCCTCCTATTTCGTCGTCGTCGTCGTCTTCTTCCCTCCTCCCTCGTTGTCGTCGTCGTCGGCGTCGCCGGCCTTTATCCTTGTTCGTCTTTCGCGTCGTCGCCGTCCTCCTCCCTCGTCGTTGTCGTCGTTGTCGCCGTCGTCGTCCTCCCTCGTCGTCGTCGTCGTTTTCGTTGGCGACGTCGTCGGCGTCGTCGGCGTCGGCGTCGTCGTCGTCGTCGTCTGCGTCGTCGTCGTCGTCGGCGTTGTCATCGTCGTCGGCGGCGTCTTCGACGTCGGCGTCGGCGTCGTCGTCGTCGGTGTCGTCGTCGTCGTCGTTGTCGTCGTCGTCGTCGAAGTCGTTGGAGACGTCGTCGGTGTCGTCGTAGTCGTTGTCGGCGGCGTCGTCGTCGCCGTTGTCGCTGTCGTCGTCGGCGTCGGTGTCGTTGCCAAGTGCCACTTGGTACCCACACTCACGGTCTTACGAGGTCATGCGACCAAGCTGCGGGTGGGAAGGTGGGATGTTTGCGCGAGCAGTGGCTTCTCGATTCTAGAAGAAGAATAGGGTCTGCCTCCCCCCCCGTAGTTAACGGTCCTTCCTGGGGTATTGCGATTTCATATTCATGTTGCACACTCGTCCGTCCGACCTGTGAGTTCGTACTATCCCAGCCAGGCGGGTATCACTCTCCCCCGCCATCCTTTGCAACAAAGACTATGCGCGCGCACTCGTTTATCAAAAATCAGAAGTGTTCAAGAATGTCTTGCAGCAGCAAAGACGAAGTGCACACGCGCGCGTCGTCGCGCGCGCATGCTGGAATCCTTTAAAAAGCCTTCGGTTTCGGAAGAATTTCAATACCGAGTTCCCCCCAGGGAAAACAAACATCCTAATTCACAGGGTTTCGCAACACTGAGTTGTTAAGAAATCTTACGCGCGCCATTGTCAAGAAATACTACCAAACGGGCTTCGCGTTCGCGTATGTCGAAATCTTTCGAACGCCCTTGCACGCGTGCCGTCGCGAGAATCCTTGCTGCAAAAAATGTGACGAAGTGCGCACGAGCGCGTCGCCGCGTGCGCATGCCGAAATCCTTCAAAAATCTTCGTCTCTGAATGGGTGTCAAAATCGAGTGTCCAAAAAACATACAAAACACATGATTTCGCAACACGGATTTTCAACAAAAGCCTGCGCGCGCGCTCTTGCGTCGTCGTCGTCGCCGTCCTCCCTCCTCCCTCGTCGTCGTCGTCGTTGCCGTCGTCGTCCTCTGTCTTTCCTCGTCGTCGTCGTCGTCGTCTTGGCGTCGTCGTCGTCGTTTCCGTCGTCGTTGTCACCGTGGTCGTCCTTCTCCGTCGTCGTCTTCGTCGGCGTTTCGTCGTTTTCCCTCCTATTTCGTCGCCGTCGTCGTCGTCGTCGTCGTCGTCGTCGTCGTCGTCTTCCCTCCTCCCTCGTCGTTGTCGTCGTCGGCGTCGCCGTCCTCCGTCCTTCTTCGTCGTTCGCGGTGTCGCCGTCCCTCTTTCCTGGTCGTTGTCGTCGTTGTTGCCGTCGTCGTCCTCCCTCCCCCCTCGTCGTCGTCGTCTTCGTTGGCGACGTCGTCGTCGTCCTCGTCTTCGTCGTCGTCGTCGGCGTCGTCGTCGTTGGCGTCGGCATCGTTGTCGTCGTCGTCGTTGTTGTCATCGTCGTCGTCGTCGTCGGCGTCGGCGTCGTCGTCGTCGTAGTCGTAGTCGTCGTCGTCTTGTCGTCGTCGTCGTCGAAGTCGTTGGAGAAGTCGTCGGTGTCGTCGTAGTCGTTGTCGGCGGCGTCGTCGCCGTTGTCGCTGTCGTCGTCGGCGTCGGTGTCGTTGCCAAGTGCCATTTGGTACCCACAGTCACGGTCTCACGAGGACATGCGACCAAGTTGCGGGTGGGAAGGTGGGAAGTTTGCGCGAGCAGTGGAGAGGACAGCTTCGAATTGAGCAAGTGATGGACAGCACCATGTAGATAGCAGCGTGCAGATCGCACCTCGTAGATTGCACGACGTGTATTGCCACGCAGATTGCACCACGTCGATTGCACCGAAGATACTGCACCAAATCTGATCTTCTTCCTTCGCGACTATTAGGGACTCCCCCTCTGGAATTAACGGTCCCGTTGTCGAATTGCACTTTGCATGCGATTCTGTCACATCGTCCGTTCGGGATATGAATTCAGACTATCCAACGCGGCCGGTATCGCCCTCCCCTCATCCTTTGCGAAAAAAAGGAACGCGCGTTTGTTAGTAAATCAACAGTTGTGTTCAAGATGGCATTGCCGAAAGGAAGTGCACACGCGCGCGTCTTCGCGCGCGCATGCCGAAATCCTCCCAAACTGCTGGGCATCGTAAAGATGTCAAGATCGAGTGTCCCGAAACATATTAAGAACACATTCTTGCAACAAACATGGTCAATACAAGCTTGCGCTCAGGTAAAACCTTTTTGTTTTCCCAACATGTTCATAGCTTGCTACCAATAGGGTTTTTTTCGCGCACTTGCCGGAATCGCTTTGACGCGCTCCCAACGGACTTTTCGCATGCGCTACCAACCCCCTTTGCGCGCGTGCTGTCGCACGCGCTACCAACCGCCCTTGCGCGCTACCAAACGGGCTTCGCGCACGCGCTACCAACGCCATTGCACGCGTGCTGTCGCAAGAACCCCTGGCAACAAACGGGACAAAGTGCGCACGCGCATGTCGTCGCGCGCGCATGCCAAAATCTCTCAAAACAATAGTTGTTTTCGTAAAGTCTGAAAATCCAGTGTCCAGGAAACGCATAAACACACACGCGCACACACACGCGCACACACACGCACACACACACACACACACACACACATTAGCAACACAGTTTTCAAACATAGCCTGCGTCCCGGGTCATGAATTTCGTAAGCATACCATTATTTTTCACCATGTCCATTGGATTCTGCCAAACGGGCCCATGCCGAAATTATTAGAACGCGTTTTCGCACGTGTTCAGGGGGGGGCGTGTCAGATAACATTATGCGGGCACTCGCGCGTCGGCCGCGGGCGCATGTCAAATTCCTTCCAAGACGTGAATCACCGACGCGAAGACGCCGTCATCATCGTCGGCGCGATCAGCATCGGCGCCGTCACTGGCTTGGTCGTCGTCGTTGCCATCATCGTCACCAGCATCGCTGCTATCATCATCACGTCTGCCATTGTCGACTTTGCAATGATCCCGTGCCCGCCCCAGTCTCCGACTCGCACAGAAACGACCGTTGGGAAGTGCCCAGCGGTCATCGCCACCGCGGCCGCGCCGGTCGCGCCAAGCTAACTGGCCGTTTCGCGCGCGAGCATGCTCGCTAACGCGGCCGTTGGAATGCCCCAGCCAGCGCCGAGCAGTCATCGCAGTCGCCGCCGCATTGGTTTTGCAAACCCTAGTTGCGGGTGGGCGGGTGGGATGATTGCGCGAGCAGTGGTGCTGACAACTTCGAGTTCGGCGGAGTGAATTGCACCACATATACGGCAACACATATTGCGCCCCATCTGTTGCACCACATAGATCGCACACCACATACTTCACCACGTAGATGGCACCACATGGATTGTACCACGCATATTGCACCGCATAAATTGCTCCACGTGGATTGCGCAATCGATGTTGCTAGAAACCTAGGGTCCATGAGTCGTGGGGGTGGGTCAGGATTGGAGCAGGGGCAGGTGGGCGATGCGAGCGGCCTGCGGATGTCCCGTGGGAGCTGCGCGACCCGATCTCGCGAACCGAAGCACTTACCCCCGCGCTGGAGGGACGCAGAACCGCCAGACGCGTCCGACAGCCGGGGGGCCCTGTGTCCCAGAAGGGGGGGGCGCCTGGTGCCGCCGCGGGGCGGCGCTGCCGCTGGCAGGACAGCGCCGCCGCCGAGCAGAAGCGCCTCCGCGACCTGGCCCACGCCCTTCGCGCGTTCATAGCCAGGCGCCCCCGCGCCGTGCGCACCCTGGATCGGGAGACGGCAGCTCCACATCGGAGGGATGCCGGTCATTTGCAGCGGCGGCCTTCCCTGGCGTGTTTTCGTCCTGGCTGGGCCTCCTGGGCGGTTCTCGTCGCCACGGCCGGGTCCGCCCCGAAAAACGAGCCAGCATGGACTGCGAGAGGGGTCCGCGGACCGATTTGAACGGGTTTTGAACCGCGGGCGGGAAAGCCGCCATTTGCTCAGTTGGCACGAAGTGTGTCGGCCTTTCAGATTCAAGGATGCATCGCGTTTCGTGCCACCTGCATGTCTGGAGCCTGGGTTGCCTTCCGAAGAGACTTGAGTGCTGACGGGTGCCATGTACACCTGGTCCCGACGACTTGCACCTCTCCTGGGCCCGGGATCGGCCTGGCCAGGATATTCCTACAGTCAAGACGCGGAAATAATGATTACTTTGGGTTCAGGAGGGTATCTGATCGTCGAGCCGCTCTGTAGATTTCCGTCGGGGGATGTGCTCGTGGCTCAGGCTCGCGGAGGCCAGAGAAGCCAGCGTGTGCCACCAGAAGAGGACGTGCGGCTTCCAAGTTCGTCAGAGTGATCAAGCGGTACAGTCGGGGCGCTGAAGAAGGAACCCTTTTCGTTGGGGAGGGGCTCGGTGTTCCTTGATTGTTCTACAGCTTGCCTTAAGTTTTCATGAGGTTTTACATGGGAGATCGAAGTGTAACTTATGGGAAAAAGGGGCCTCGCTCCTTGTTTAGGGTTCCTTAGGTCAACGCCCCGGCTGTAATGAATTGTCCCTGGGCGCGTGGCTGAAGTGCGCTGCCGCTGTAAAGCTTGTTGTTGCGCTGTTGCGTTGTCGCGGTGTCGTTGCCGTCCTCGCCCGCGACCCACCCCGTGACCCAACCGCAGCCCACCCGCAGTGCTCTGACGAACATGCGGCACTTGTGGCGGGCTCTCTGTGCAAGATATCAAGATATCGGCACCTGCGGCGGGCTTCCTCAGAGCCTCGAAGACTGGGCACGACCTCGCCGCCCTCTCACTCTTAAGACTCTTACCTGCAACTGCGAGGTGCTGCGTACGTGTTGTTCGCCGCTTCCCGTCGGTGTGTCTGCGTAAAGTTTTTGCTGATGTATCCTCATCTTCCTCCGCGTCTCTTGCGGGGCTTCTGTGGAGCTTCTTGGCGGCCTCGCGGGCGGTCTCTCGGAAGCTTGTTCAGGGTTCCTTGGGAGGTCTTTTGGGGGGCCCGCTGGGAGCTTCTTCGTGGCCCCGTGGGAGCCTCTTGGAGGCATGTCGGGGGTTTGCGGGGCCCTCTTGTGGGAGAGGGCGCGGGAGGCCCCAAGGAGGTCCGTCTCTTGGGCATTGCTTCTCTGGCGGCCGGTCCTCCAACCCATAGGGCCGTCGAAGAAGGGCCCCACAGTTTTGGACACGCATCGCCGCGGCACGCTTTTGGCGTGTCGGGCTGACGCGTGTAGTGTCCAGAATTCTGCGTCCGTGACGCGTGTCCTGGCGCCGCGCTCGAGTTGCCACCATTTGGCCATTCTGGGATACCATACTAGACCGAGGAAGGTACTGGACCGCCATGTCACGCGCGAGCCTCAGATGGAGTCCTTGAGGTGAATCTGTTCAGATCGCGTAGCTTTCCGCGGGGAGGGGGTCGATCGCTATGAGGGAAATGAGTTTTGCGGGAAACGGCTCCTGAGGTATTTTGCCTTTTGCAGGCTTTCGGGGCCCTCCACGGTCCCCGGGACTGTTAGAAATCGTCTCAGGATGAAGATTTGGTCTTGGGGAAGGCCCCCGGGTGCAGCGCCCGTTTCTCTCGGGACCCATTTTCACCCCATGTCGAGTCGAGAGTTCCGGACGCTCCCCAATAGGGAAGATCGATGTGCCCTCGCTCCCTCGCGTCGTGACAAAATCCCGACGTCCTTTTGGCAGTCTTCGGCTTGCAGTGCCCCTTGCCGGGCCCCAGGGCCGCCCGAGAGCCAAGGACGAATCGTGATGAAAAAGCCCGTCCCCAGGAAGGGCTCGAGATGTTTGGGGCGCCACGTGGTTCCAGGCCTCTCAGATGGGGTCCGAGCAGATGGGGTCCGAGGATCGCACCGCATCGCCGATGCATCGGCGATGTGGCCCGATGTGGAGCCCGATGTTCTCCACCCCGACGTCCGATGCATCGCAAAGCCGACGCATCGCCGATGCGGCGCGATTCTCCAACTCCACCCAGTCGGACTCCATGTAGGATGCCTCTCGTTGTGAACACGTCACGACCACGCCGCAGGAAGTCTGGGATGTCGAATGTCTGGTGGCGCTGGTGTCGTCGTCGTCGGGGCTGTTCAAGATGTTGGGCGACTCGCTCGCGCTCTCCGAGACCACATGGGACATGCGCTCTTCGAGGTTCTCGATCATCGGGGGCTGCTCCATGAGCCTGCGTTTGGTCGAGAGCTTCCCAGAGGTGGTCAGGAGGAGGAGCAGGGAAGGGAAGCGATGACGCGGAGGAGGGCAGCCATTGCCTCAGAGAAGGGGGACTGTCAGGAGGAGGATGAGGAGGTGACCGAGAGAAGGCGGAGGAGGCCGAGGAGGCGGACGAGTCCTAGGACTAGTGTTAATAGTATAGCAGCTGGGGCGCGGCCGCCGCCGCCGCCGCTGCCTTGGCAGTCGCCTCCCGCTCCGAACGCGTGCTAGGAGCGCATGCATGCCTAACGTTTGAGGCAGGGCCTCCAGCCCTCTTGATAGATGTCTGACCTTGCGAGGCGGCGGAGGAGTGGCAGCATATTGTATGTAGACCGCACCTCGACGCGACAAATGGCTTAAACTGGCGACCTCCTCGCGAGCATGAGCATACGCGTCGAAGGGTCGTCGTGCCCTCCGAAACCTGACGCAACGGGCAGCCCCTGCCAAGAACAGAACAGCGGCGCTGGGTGTCAGCCCCGCAGGTCGTACAAAAGTGCAGAGTGATCCAGCAGCATTCTTGGTCACGCGCGCGTGGGCCAGCGTGCGGCCCGTGCTGGAATCCAGAACTCCGCGCCGTGTCTTGCTGAGCCCAGCGCAGCCTGTTGTGGGCCTCGTCGCGAGATCTGTCCAGAGCGCCAGGCATCTAGGGCAACGGGCGCGTCCTTCCTCAGAAGTTTCCCAGTGGTGCCAGCCCCGAGACTTCAGCAGGCGGCGCTCAGGTTCAGGGGGCCTCCGATCAGACTTCGCCGAGGGGGGCGCGAAAAAAAACGTTGGCCGTAATAGTTGGCCGCGAATTTGAGCATAGCGAGCATGACATCAACTTTATGTAGCACCCCGCATTTGCGGATAAGAGTGAGGGGCCTGGCGCGGGCTGGGTCACGGGTTGGTCGCGGGTGGGTCGCGGTTGGGTCGCGGATGGGTCGCGGGTGGATCGTGGGTGGGCCGCGGGTGGGTCGTGGCCCAGGTCGCGAGTGGGTTGACGACAACAATAACGACAACACCAACAACACCAGCAGCAGCACAAGCAACAACAGCAAAAACAGCAGCAGCAAGAACATCAACCACCACCATCACAACGACAGTAAGCAACACCAGCAACCAGCAGCAACGCAACAACAATCTCCACCGCGGAACCCAATTTCAGTCCCGCACCCAGCGGCAGTGAATGATTGTGTGCCCCCGTTCTGATCACGTTCGAGCAGGGAGGGCTTGGGGTGGGAGGACATCGCATGCTTGGCGGAGGAGTCCGTATTACGATAACATCTAGCAATATTTCTCTCTTCAGCGGGAAAGGCGTCAATGCTCTCACGGAAACAGTTTAGCGGGAGCGTGTTGGACAGCCATCGTGTGATCTTGCTTCTCGTGCAGTATCGTGGTTTTCCTCACCTTGGTATAGCGATGTTTGGAGGTTTGGGGCGCTTCGCTGGCTTGGCAAAAGTTGACCACGGTTATAAAGTCCGACAGCCGCGTGCAACAGCACTCGACAAAGATGGGCAAGCCCGCCCCCATTGGGTGCTCTGCCGCCTGCGGAGTCTGGGGCAGCAGCGGCGAAGGTCACAATCCCCTCAGGTTCCCAGCAGAAACGCCCAGGACTGGGAGGCGTGGCTGAGGTCGCGCACACCATGTCGCAAAGCAGGACCCGCCCATACGCCCCACGCGCCCCTCGTGGCCGATTGTTCCCCAATCGACTAGATCCCGCTGGGCATTGAACAGGGTGGGGCCGGTGTCATCCGAAGTTGCGGGTTCCGAAGGGGGAGAATACATGGCACCAGGGTGTTCACACTTGCGTTCACCCCAAAGAAATTGCTCGTTGCTGGTGGTGGCTTCTTGCATAGACTCCAGCTCATCACCGACAGCTTCAGCACGCGTAGAGCTGGCGTACGCTCGATGCCCGTCCCTGTCTGGCTCACTACAAAGAGGACAGTTGCCGTCGCTCTGGTAACATGCCTTCCGCGCACGGGCGCGTGTCCAGGAGCCTCCACAATAAAAGGTGGTCGCCATGCAGTTCCCTCTGGGTGTCAAATCTTTGGCCTTGGGTCCCATGATTTTCTGGACGAGGTCCAGGCTGACACGCTTCCCCGGGACATACACAGTGTCCTCGGCGATCTGACGTTATAAAATACGTTGGGTGGCCAAACTGAGCATGTGCCCCATGAGATTGGGGCGAATTGAGAACGAGGTAGGCCTCACGTGCGTAGTCATCCCGCAACGTGGGCGCGAAGGTCGCTCACCAACCGACACGATGTAAGGACAGAAGCGTTCTCTGGATGGGCCACCGAGTGCTCCTCCAAGTAACCCCTTCGTCGAACGGAACCTGGGCCCACATTTGACAGATCTCCTAGACGCTGTAATACGAGACCGAGGTCGGGGTGAGGGAAATCCAAACGATGTGCGCCCAATGCAGAGCAGGGGCAACACTCGCTCTGGAAATTGGATCGCCCGAAAATCAAGAACAAGCTTGGCCTTAAAAGAACAACCTTTGTGATACGGCGGCTTGTGTTATAAGAGCACGCGTCTAGCCCAGGCAAGCTCACTGCCACTCATGCCAACAGCCACGTATCCGAAGGTCGTTGCAGGAGCCACGTCCGCATCGCACATCTTGTCAATGCGTCCCTTCTGGCGGGGAAACAATGCCCACACCTTCCTTGTGCACAGCCTTGTGCCTTTTCGCGCGTCTTTTGCCTAGCCTGGCTCTTCGCTTCCACAAATCACGCCGTGCAGACCTCCTCTTGCCCAGGGGCCAAATCGTTACCAAGACTGACCGTATTGTTAGTGACATGTCCCGCCAGGTTGTCTACAAGGGTACCGAGATTTCGGGCCAGGGCCAAAGAATTCCCGCAAGTGGTAAGTTTCTCAGTTCGGGATCCAACCTTCAAATCGTCGCTAAACACTTTCGTGCACACTTGCATCACTTGAGAAAGAGCCAACTCCTCCGACTCAGCTTCGGTGGTCAGCGCACCGTCGTCCGCAGAGGACGAAGCGATGACCACCGAAGTGGATTCTGGACCGTGTGCCGATAAAAGCCTCAATGTCGCAAACACTGGCGATCAGGTCATGAAAAATGCCGCCCGCAGGCAGGCCCGAAGTCGCAAAGTACGGGATAGCGCCGTACATGCTGCCGAGTCCAAGATTGCGGGGCCCTCTCCAGAAGTTGTATATGTTCGCCGATCACGGGATTGAATCCAAACAACAGGGCACGCTCCCGAAGGAGATCAAAGTCAAAACATGAATACTTGTTGTTCCGACCCAGACAAACCCAAGGAAACCTTTCCCGAAAGCGCTGGCACCTCGGAACGGACAGTCTGATGCCATGCAGCATCATCAGGACAGCGGCCAGGCCCAAAGGCCCAGACACCCCTCGGGCGCAGCTCGTTCAACAATTCTGTCAGCAGAGGCATTCTGAGGCGCTCCCAAATTCGAGCAGTGCCAGCACAACTATAGGGGCCGGCGGACCTGTTTACGTTTCTCCCAAAAGGGGGGACAACATCCAGAAACATTGCTTCGGACACAAACGCAGGGATGCGATAGCTTGGACGAGGGATCCCCAGCTGTAAAACGCTTCATCCGAGACCAGAGACAGCTACCTCGGATGTAGGCCGTCCAGAGGTTGCGATGGTAGCTTCGATAAGCTGCAACTGGCGCTGCGAATCTCTCCTGCGGTAGGGCGCGGAAGATGGCTCCTGTCGGGAACACAGACAGGTGAGGGGGGCGGCGTTGGCGTGCCAAAAACCAGCCAGCGCCGAACTCTCCGCCTCGAAAAGTCCCCAGGGGTTGGATGAAACCCTTCCAGGGTAGGTCTGGATCACAGTAGGCTTCTATTTCTGCTTCAATTTGGTGAGCCGATGCATGGCCCTGGCTCCTCCCCTCAGCGGCTCCTCCTGCCATTCATCCCAGGAGGCCTGCATGCTCTTGCTGATGGCCTTGACGGCCGGCTCGGGGTCCTCCTCCCACAAAGCAAAGACGTCTTCGAGGCCATTGAGCAACGAAGCCGGTGCAGGGCACCATCGCTTTGACAAGTCACGAGTTTGTGCAATCGTGTTGTCCATGCGGACGATGATCCCCTCACCAAGGCAGGGTTCAGACACAACAGTATGGATGAGTTTGGTAGTATCTTGGTTGAGCTTCTCCATCTTACAAGGGTCCCGACGGATCTTGAAGATTTTTATGGAGCTTGCCAACCGTGCCTGACGTTTCGTTCATGTGGTGAGCTAGCCACTCCCAGCCCGTATCCACCAAGTTTTTAACCCATGCTTAGGCCTCGAGAAAAAATATCCAGCGAACCTTGAGGCGTGCCCCTTTTGCGGCCTTTGGTGGTGACCGTGCAGCCCGTAAGAGACTCGAGCTCGGGTTCCAACGTGTTGGAACATTGCACCCATGCCTGCCTGCAAATGTCCCAGGCCTGCCCGATGCTGTCGTTGAAGGCGTTGATGTCATCGCCACGGTACTCGGTACATCTGGATATTGTAGTTTGATCACGCAGGTGGAGTCTAATTGGCCCGTGGGGCCTACCTGTCCAGGCGAGGTCCAGTTAGTTCTTCTCGACAATCCCAGAAAAAAACTGTTCGACGCAATAACGTAGCCTATCATATTGAGAGACCGCGGGGACACAAGTATTTCATTTGGACACGACCAGCGCCGCCTCCAAACCGAGCAGCGGTGGAGCGAAAAGCGCAGCAAAAGGAGGGCCAGGGGCCGTCAGTAGTGGCCCCTTGCCCTGAGGGGCCCGCCAGGGGGGCGAGCTGGCCTATCGCAGTCGAGGCGACCACGACGGGCGCGTTGAGCAAAAGAAGGAAGCCTGCATCCTGTCCCGCAGCGGAGGGGCCGGCAGGCGGGGCGGCGGGCGGGGCAAGCCAAGAGGGGAGGCGGGCGCGAGGCGAGGCGATGATTCAGATGAGGACCAAGTGCGGACGCAGGCAGGGAGTGGCGTCCCGTGGGTAGACACGCACACACACACACACACACTCTTTCACACACAGCACACACACACACACTCTCTTTCACACACAGCACACACACACACACACACACTCTCTTTCACACACACACACACACAACACGCGCAACATATGCAGACGGCACACACGCACACACCACCTCCACACCACCACCCCGCCCGCCACCCCATACCCTACACCGCCCCCCCCCCACCTACCCCAGCCCAGCCCCGCCCGTCCGGGGCCCCCGTCGCAGGTGCGAGCGCCCGTCGCACGGCGACCCGCCCAGGGCGGCGCGGCGCGCGGGGAGCAGGACGGCCCACCCCCACGTCGTCGGGCTGCCCTGGCGGGGGGGGCTCACTTTTGAGGTGGTGGGGGGTGGGACGCGGAGATGTGTGCAATCACGCGCTTCAGTGGAAACGCTTATCGGGAAACAGGCAAGGACGTAAGCACAAGCTGTTGGGAGTCCGCGCAGATTTCTTGGGCCAGCGCCTGGAACCCCCCCTGGCAGCGCCTCCGGCGCCGCCCCTGGCGCGCTCCGCGCGACAGGGAGGGGATTCAGCGCAGGTCCAAGACATCCGCGCAGACCTCCAAGAGTTTGACTATGTTGAGTATGCAGAACTGTCTCCCTGTATCAGTAGCAGCGATGTTCGGCTCAAGTGTGATAAAAAACATGTGGAGTCGCGCGCTGCAGTGGCAGTGGTGCCGCTGCTCGGCAGCGGTGTTCCTCGTTGCCACTGGAGCGTGAGATTGACAAATATGTGTGCTAACAGCTGCTGGTCTACATGCATGCGTATACGTGTGTATGTATACACACAGCTTGTACCTGTTATAGTTGTATGCACAGATCCCGTGCACTGGTGTGGGGGGACGAATGCGAGCGGAGGGTGGGGAAGGGAGGGAGACCATGTTTATATTTTGCAGTTTACGATTCCCTCCTATGGCTGACACAATGGCTATATTTCTCGCTCTTCTGCAATATACACTGGTGTAACATAGCCAGCTGCCTGCGGCAGGTCCCGCCACCGTCGTGCCATCCCAGCCTTCTGGGTGGCGATTGTGAGGGAGCACGCGGGAGTCCGTCACGTCTGGCATTTCGGGTTCCCAGGCTTGGGAGAGCCGTGATGAGGATGATGAGGATTCGGAGGATGACGATAAGGATGATGACGAGGAGTAGGAAAAGCAGGAGTTTCAGGCAGTTCGGGGGCCATCTAAGGCCGCTTGGATGCCCACTTAGGCTGTCTTTCGGCTTTCCTGGGCAGTCGTAGGTCCCTCTTGGCCGTAGGGTGGGTGTCTAGGGCCGTCGTGGGGCTGTCTTGGCGCTGTCTTTGGCCGTCGAAGGCCGTCTTGGGTTCCTCCAGAGGTCCTCTTGGACCTCTTGGGCCATCCTGCTGGGGTCGTTTTAGCCCATCGTGGGACTCTTGGGGGCCTCGTTGGCAGTCTGGGGGCAATATTGGAGGCTTCGTGGGCCATCTTGAGCAAACGGAAGCGCGAACACATGAGAATGTCAAAACCTTTCGACAGCCTGCTCTGAGGAAGTGTAGCAGTGCAGTCTACATAACCCTTTGGTAAGGAACTGAGAGAGATTGTGAGGGGCGGGTTCGTTCCGCAGTCGTGTTGGTTCAAAACCATCTAGCCATGGTAGCAGGAGCTGGTTCATTGCGATCCAGCGGCAACCTTTCCACATCCTCGGGCGCGGGGCGCCCCGATAGCGACGACGAGCTTTCTGAGAAAACTGATTGGCGTGTGGTTCGGCGCAGCAGGCGTAACTGGTCTGCGCACGAACAGTGGTGGAGAGTTTGCGAGCAGCTCTGGAGAATCAGACGGCTTCAGCGCTACTGGGGCCACGTTGGGCAACTACTTCAGAGAGTATGTGCCAAGGAGCTGCGTGAGAGGCTTCGACGGTGTCTTATTACACCGTCGAGACAATGAGCACGCCAGAAGAGCAGCTGCAGCAGTTGACAGCACAAGTGCGAGAACTCATGACAGAGTTGACGAGGCAGAGGGACCTGATGAACACGGTCCAGGCCCAACGAGTGCAGGACCTCGAGGCAATGACCAAGCTGCAGCAGACGATCATCCTGGAGAAGGAAACGACCAAGAGGAAGGTGCAGTTGGTAGACGTCAAGGGTATTGGCAAGCCGACGGTCTTCAACAGCGACATGAAGGCGTGGGGCGGCTGGGCTTTCAAGTTGACAAGTTTCCTGGAGAGTGTGACGACGGGCATCAAGGAGGCCTTGAATTATGATCAAGATCAGGAAGAGCCGCTCACGAGAGAGAACTTAGGGGAGATCGGGGAGATCTTCACCTTAGAGCACGAGGACACGGACATCAAGACCATCGGCCGACAGCTGTACACGGTGTTGGCTCAGCTCTGCGATGGCGAAGCTCTGGATCTAGTGCATGCGACGAAGGACAACGACGGGTTCGAAGCTTGGCGCGTGATAGCGAGGAGGTTCGACCCACAAGGAGCTGGCAGGAAGCGCAACATCCTGGGTTCACTAATTCAACCGGGGGCGGTCGACGCCCCGCAGCTGAACAGCCACATAGCCAAGTGGGAAGAGTGGGCCCGCGTCTACGAGAGGCGGGCCGGCCATGCGATGCAGGAGGACATCAAAGCGCAGGTGCTCGCGAGCATGACAAAGGGCGTTCTCAAGGACCACCTGGTGCTCAACGCGAACAAGCTCAAGACGTACGTGAGTGTGCGCGAGGAGATCCAAAGCTACTTGGAGTCGAAGGTGAACGACCGTGCGACCCCCATGGACGTCGGCAGCCTCAACCAGAAGGACATCACCTGCAACAGCTGCGGCAAACAGGGCCGCAAGAAGGTCGACTGCTGGATGCCAGGCGGAGGTGCACACAAGGGCACCCAGAGCCCGAAGGGCAAGGGCAAGGGCGACAGCAAGGGCGGCAAGGGCAAGAGCAAAGGCAAGGAGAAGACCAAGGGCAAGCCGTCTTCGCCCTACCCGCCTCGGCAGCGACCAGGTGGGCAGCAAGGCCAGCACCGGCAACAACAGCAAGGATTCCAAGGCTACTGCTCACAGTGCTGGGGCTGGGGACACAAGCAGCAGGACTGCCCCACGAATCGTGGACAGCAAACAGGGCAACGCGGTGCCAACAGCCTGGAGGCGAACGACAAGCAGGAACCGGAGACCGAGCAGCCTGGCAACCTCGGCGGGCTGGACCTGTGCACCCTAGAGCTGAATGCGGTGGACGATGCGACGGAAGACTACGTCTATGCAGCAGTGGATTCCGGGGCGGCGGAGAGCGTTGCCCCGAACACTTGGTTCGCGGACGTGCGGGCGAGGCCGACAGTGTCCAGCGAGATGGGCACGAGTTACCGAGCGGCCAACGGACAGTTGGCGCGGGGCGAGGGCGAGAAGGTCATCGAGGCCATGACGGAGGACGGCAGCACAAGGCGACTCAGGTGCACGTCGACAGGAGTGCACCGCATGCTGCTGGCGGTGTCGAAGCTGGTGGAGAAGGGCCACGAGGTTTACTTTGGGCCGAAGGAGTGCCACCTGAAGCACCTCGCGACCGGCAGGAGGCTGCCGATCCACCTCAGACGTTGAGTCTACACCCTCAAGCTGAAGAGGGTCAGTGGCCAGGAGAGGAACGCCCCAGACATCAGCGCGATGTCGGGGGGCAGTCGGCGGGCTCAGCCGCAAGACCGAGCACCGAGGGCCCTCCTCGGCGAGAAGGCGGAAGCTCAGCGGCAGCGCCGGCGGCGGCGGAACCCGTGGAGCCCACGCTGGAGGACGAGGAGGATGACGACATGGGCGACCCACCGGTTACGGTGGCGCCGCGGCCGTTCGAGCCGACGACGGTCGAGCGGGAGATGCGCGAGGCGGCAGGGCACGCGCAGTTCAGGGCATGGTGCGGAGACTGCGTGGGAGGACGCGGCCGCAATGCTGACCACCGACGATTGTGCGCTGAGCGAGAGCATCTAGTCAACACGATCTCCATTGACTACACGTTCTTCGGTGGAGACGACGAGCGAGCAGAGCCCGCGCTGGTGATGCGTGAGCACAAGGGGCGATGGACGGCGTCGATCGCCGCGACGAGTAAGGGCACGAAGGATGCCTGGATTATCAAGTGGGTGGCGGAGGCCATCGAGTACACGGGGGTGAAGCACTTCATCTTCAAGAGTGACCAGGAGCCCTCGATCCTGGACCTGAAGAGCAAGGTCATCGAGGCGCTGGGTGAAACCTTCAAGATCGCGAAGGAGGAGAGCCCGGTGGAGGAGCACCAGGCTAACGGCGCGATCGAGCTGGCGGTGCAGTCCGTGAGCGGTATCGTGCGGACCCTGAAGCTGGCGGTGGAGCGCCAATATGGGATGAAGGTCGGCCACGACCATGCAATCGTGCCGTGGCTCATCAACTACGCAGGCGTGGTGATCAGCCTGTTCGACGTCGGGGCGGACGGACGCACGGCGTACGAGAGGATCCGCGGGAAGAGGTGCCGCAAGGAGCTCCCGCCGTTCGCTGAGACGGCGCACTACCTGCCGGCGGACAGGAACAGGGGCCACAAGAACAAGCTGGACGCCAAGTGGTTGACAGGCATCTACCTTGGCGTGCAGCTGAAGAGCCAGGAGCTGTACATCGGCTTGGAGTCGGGAGTGGTCAGGGCCAGGGCTGTCAAGCGGAAGGCCGGAGACGACCGCTACAATGGCGAGCTGCTGAAGAAGCTGCAGGGCACACCATGGCGGCCAGTGCCAGGTGTGACCAAGGACGGGGTGGACGCGCCGGCGGCGCGGTTCCCGATCGCGAAGGCGTCCGACTAGGCGCCTCTACCAGTTGAGCCGCGGGCACTGCGGCCGGGGACGGGTGCAGGAGGAGTTCCTGGACCGAGGCGAGTGCACATCCGCAACGAGGTGGGGATCAAGACGTTCGGGAAGACCGAGGGGTGCATCGGGTGCGAGAGCTACGCCCTGGGCTTCCCAGCTCGCAGCCACAGTGAGGCCTGCAGGGCAAGGGTCACGAAGCTCATGGAGGATGACTTCGAGATGAGGAAGCGAGTAAGGATGGCCGAGGAACGGCAAGGAATCAAGAGACCGGCTGAGAAGCAGGCGGTCGACGTGGAGGAGGCAACCGGAGGAGGCAGCGGCATTGCGCCATCCTCGGCTGCTAGACCGGCCACAGCAGGGACGGCAGCTGGGCAAGCTCAACCTGCTAAGCATGGTCAAGATATTTCAGTATCGAGCGCGCTGGTCCACGCTGCGCTCGGAGGAGAGATCTTCACCAAGGGCTCAGGCTCGGGCGTGAAGAGGCAGGCCGAGACCCAGGTGACCCCAGGACCGCAGGAGGCGATGGA